CCTTTACGGAATACCATTAACATCAATTAGAAAGCTGCAGCTATTGATGAACATCGCTGCTCGTCTTGTCACTGGGACACCTAAATTCCATCACATCACCCCTACTCTTCGTCGTCTTCATTGGTTGCTAGTGAAACAGCGTATTGAATTCAAAGTACTTTTATATGTTTACAAATCAATTCACAAGTTATCAACACAATACATTTCCGAATTAATTAAGGTTCGTTCTGCAACTTGCACTTGTTCCCTCTGGTCAACAACTGACTCAACCAATCTTTATTGTCCATCCTTTTGGTTAAAGTCTTGTGGGGAGCGATCGTTTATGGTTGCTGGGCTCAAGTTTTGGAACTTGTTACCTTTATTTATTCGTGAGTCATCTTCTGTCACCATTTTCAAAGAACGACTTAAGACCCATTTATTCTCGTCCCTTTAATTTATTTTTTTTCTATTTCCATGCCAGCTAGCTTTTATAGCTTTAACTAGGATAGGAGGCGCCCGAATCCGAGATGGCCGAGACTCAACAGGTGCTGACTGTAGTTCAATTAGATTGAACCCTAGCCAGCGATGAGGGCGTATCCCCATACTTCGGTTTGGGTGCTGGCATGCTATTCAAATTTCACTTCTTTTTATTTTGTGGTTTTGGTTTCCGTTCCATCTTTACACTTGCCTGATAGTGCTTAGAGACTTTTGTATTTTGCGCTCTATAAATTAATAACCATTAACCATTGAATCATGATGGTCATGCGAGTTGTCTTTTTTAGTACAGTTTAGGTTAGTTAAGGTGTAGTTCTACAATAGAGTATTGCTTTTATAAATTAATGAGTGAAGTTTTTTATTTGAAGTTATCTAAATCATGAATTATTTTAACATTATTTCTTAGAATATTGTTAGATCATGAGGATGAAATTACCATTACAGTACTTGTTTGAAAATATTATTGTGAAATCAAATTTTTGGTATTATTATCTACTATTGTTAATCATGTTTCATAATAATTTATCCCTAATCAAGTTGTAATATTTTTAAGTAATTGATTATCAAGGAACTAAGTATGTGTTCCATATTTTAAGAGGGCACAGCTGAATTAAAGGCACCTTCTACAATCAACATACTGATAAAAATCAAGTTGTTTTTTTTATAAAGTAATGTGCATTATATACAAGGACAGATGAAGCTGCAATATGAAACTTGTATTTTTATTTTAAAGAAGTAATTAAAAACACTTTGAAAATTAATTATGCTAAATTTAATTGTCAGTAAATAAAAGGTAAAACAGATCATGTTAAAACAAATGAATTTGCTTATTTTCAAAAGGAAATTTCAGTATGCCACAGTATATATGGCTCTGATGAGGTTATCAAGATTGGCAAATAAGAGTATCGTCATTGTAAATTTTTCTATTATAGATTGTGATAAATAAACACCTGAATACATAACAATACTGTTTCATTTTTATTATTTTCATCTATGATGGTTTTTTGACACGTTATAGCACTTTCCTAACGATCTGATTAACATCACTAAGCTGTATTTGAGGTTGCAGGTTGCTTGGGGAGCCTGAAAATTACTGATAAAAAATATGCTCCAACTGTTACCTCCTAATACCACATTTTACCCTTTCACTTCATCATCGAACACTCCCACCAGTGCAACGTCCGGTGGCCGACGAATCCAACTCCACTCCCAGTGAACGTTAGACAACGTGATGCCATGTGTTTGTCGGTGGCAGTCTGAACAGGTTGTCATTAAAATTGATCTGTTGTGCCTGTGTTGTGACATTGCATTCTCCAGAATCGTGTCGGCTGACAACTATCGTGCGCAATGGGTGCCCAGCTTAATACCAAGCGCTGATTCTCATTTCAGGCAGTTTATGGAATAGTGCTCTGAAGGGAGCTGAGGATGTGTTTTTTTAAGTGTTTGAATCCAATGACCAGGGGTATTATTGTAAAGCTCTGTACAAATTTAGCATTTTTAAGTTAGTCATATTTAATACAAAGTGCTTTTTACCTGGTTTCTTGCAGCTTTGCATAATAAATACAACAGTAGCAAATCCAGCACATATAAACCAAATGGGACAAGTATAGAGATTGTGTATGGAACTGGAAGCATGAAGGGATTCTTAAGCACAGACAGTGTTGCAGTAAGTACATTTCTAACTATTTTTTTGTTTTTTGTTTGGGAGAGCAATTTACTGGAACAGCTATATATCATCATCAGCTATTGTTGGTCCATTGCTGGACGGAAGCCTCAACATGTTGGACACCAAATCATTCTCTCTTTTGCTATGGTGCACCAATACACTTTTCCCTAATACCTATCGATCTGATCTCTCCAATTTTTACTCTGTGCTGTGTGGTAATATATTACCATGACGCTTTTTATACCATATTTTAATACAAAACAAGAAAGGCAGTGTATATTTAGCTGTTAACACAGCATTTTTTGTTATGATATTCAGGGGCACATTCCAAACACTAAAGCCGCAATCGCACTGGATTTAAAATAGGGAAATTTTTACCGAGACTGTGAGTAACATTCCAATGGGTAAACTTCCTGTCGTTCGCACTGGGATTTATCGACGTGGTTAATTTTACCACAGGCCATGGTGAAACTAACCATTCGTACAGATTCAACTATTGGGGGCGCTAAATCATGACGTTCACTTCCGGTATGTGTGGCAAAACAATTAACGAAAGCGCGCGCGCACGGCATTTCGACAGGCTAGGCATGTTGTATTTGTTGATAATCGCGATGGATTGTCTCACCAAGACCTAGCACATTTATTATTAATGCTCCATATAAATCGACCATTGAAACAAACCGAGTAAACAAGTGAAAAAAATGACAAAATTACTCAAAATCAAGACACTAGCAAACACGCGCGAAATTAATCAAGATGTTTGTGTGTGACGTTTTATTCCAGGTCACAGCTCAAATTGCCTGACAGCCTGAGGAAGGTCATTCACTGTGATGACTTGGGAAGTTTACCCGACTCGCGCTGTTTGCATTGGACTTTCCTGCTAGGTAAAACTAACCTGGTCAGTTTTCCTGGGCAAGCGGGACTTGGTTAAATTAACCGCGCGGCTTGGGTAAGTTTCCTGTCAGGTAAACTTCCTGTGCTGTTCGCACTGGTAAAACTAGCCAACGTGTTGGTTAGTTTTACCAAAAAAAGTCCAGTGCGATTGTGGCTTAAAATATGAAATTATGCTTAATAGCTAGTGCAATACATATTTTTTAAAAATCCACTAATTAGAAATAGAACAAAGTATTAAAGTTGCAACTGATATTTATTTTTGTTTTACACAAAATTTACACAAAAATAATTTCAAGACACAGTATTATTAGGCTTATGTATCAAATGTGATTGCCTTAAACAACCCAAAACCTAATTTTGTTATTTTGTATATATGGAAGTTCTCTGTAGTTGAATTAAAATTTTAAAATGTGAATATTACATGTGTATATTATATATTTATATATTTTCTTAAATATACTGTGCTAATATGTGCTTTTTAAATAATTTTGTAGCTCAATGCATGTTTAAAAAAACTATAGAAATATTTAGTACTGTACTGACATAGTTACAGAGATAAAGATTATAGAGGGCTCACTCCATCCATATTCCATAAAAGCACATGATTGAATTTAATTTAATGTAAGTGTAATCTTATCCAATATATTGATAGATTGGAAGCATTGTTGCCAAGAATCAAACTTTTGCAGAAGCAACACAAGAACCAGGAATGACGTTTGTTGCTGCCAAATTTGATGGAATTCTTGGCATGGGGTACAGTGAGATTGCAGTGGACGGTGTCCAAACAGTCTTTGATACGTTTGTAGAGCAGAAGGTCGTTGATAAACCAATATTCTCTTTCTATTTAGATCGGTAAGGAATTGAATAATGTATTGTTTGAAGGTTTGCATGGCGAAGTAACAATAATATTATTAATGCTTGCAGTACACCACGTACAGTACATAATTAATTCTGAAAGAACTTTTGTCTTTGTGTTCTAGAAATACCAGTGATAGCACCGGAGGAGAGCTTATTCTTGGTGGGTCAGATCCAAAATACTACAAGGGAAGTTTCTCTTATGAAAAGGTGACACGTAAGGGTTATTGGCAGTTCAATATGGACAGGCGAGTGGTGTTTTTTTTTGGGATTTTTTAAAAATCTTTATTAGGGTCATCCCACCTTTATTCATCAAAAAGACAAATTATTATATATGAATAACATTTTGGTAATTTTGCTTGAAAAATTGAAATACACAATCATCTATAATGCAATATGGCACTATTTTTACATTGCCACATTGCACAATCATCTATAATGCAAAATGGCAATGTTTAAATACTGGATAAATTTTAGCATTTCTTTTCAAAATATTTTCTAATATGTATTTTTATTATAAAAAGTTGTAAAACTGAGGTGTAACGCCATTTGTTAAGATATTTTAGTAAATACAAAATGTTCCTAATGAAAAAAGATGGTCAATGTAAACATTTACTGTACCAAGTAAAATATTTTTAAAATTTTGCTTCAATACCATAATTAAAAGGCTAAAATTATTAATTTGCATATTTTTTACAGTATTAATTTTGATAAAAAGCCACACAAACATGTATCTATACTCCCTGAATCCATACTCAAATCTTTAATACATCTGTCTTTAACAAAAGTCAATACAATATAAAATGACACTGTAACCATGGACCTATTAATAAGGTCCATACTGTAACTAACACTTACAAATGTGAGGTCTCACCACAAAATGAGTCAGATGGTTGGAAAATCAAACATTGAGATTATACTGTAGTCTATTTGAATCTATAAATCACATTGGTTTGTGAATGGGTTCCTAAATATAAAGAGACCCAGAGAAGTGATTGTTCAACATTTAGATGGACACCAGATTTAGATGTATGGAAACCTGATTTTGAGAAAATTTATAGTGTCAAAGTATCAAAGCATCCATGCTGAAAGGGCTCCCACAAATATAGTTTAATAAACAATATAATGGTAGAATATTGTTGAACGCCTTACACAATCAAATCGTCTCAAGGCTCTGGTTGAAAAAATGTTGAACCTCATATTGTTTTGGTGGTATTTGTATACAATATTAGGTTTAAAATGTAAACCTGAGCTTTGGATTTGATTTTTTTAATTCTATAAAGTGAAATTGAAATTAAGATTTTATGTTATTGCATTTTCATTGTCGTAATCAAAGGTGGGTCTAAATTTTGCCCTAATGGATGTGAAGTTATTGCAGATACTGGCACATCTCTGATTGCCGGTCCAACAAAAGACATTGTTGCTATTAACAAGGAACTAGGAGCTAAAGTAATTGAAGGATCGGTAAGTTAAAAAGTGAATGTTGAACATATTTGTTGTTTGTAGATATAAAACATATGTAATGATATCATAAATGTAAACCTACCAAACGTGGGCGAAACAAACTAATCGTTATTCATAATTAACTGGAGTAATGCATGCAGTATTGACAAATACATAGATGTGTGTGGCACAGTGTAGCCTCATGGACTTTCAAGTGGAAATTCTGGGGTGTGAGACTAAGATTCGTCACACAGCTTGTGTCCTTGGGCAAGACACTTATCTACATTTGCCTCTCTTCACTTAGGAGTAAATGGGTAACTTGTAGGAGGAGAATAATTCGGAATGAAATTAGTAGTGCTGATTACACGCATAACTAGGAATACTCCCCAGCGAGCAGGGGATGTTGCACATGATTGATTCTGTATCCACTTACCAGGGAAAGGTTTTCTGGATATGTGCGTTATATAAATCCTAGTATAAAGATAAATAAAATAATAAAAATACCAAATAAAGAACATTAAGCTGATGAACAGTAATTTATTTTACTCAAGTAAAATTGTGAATAAGAATATTTGTGTCTTAAAAGCTGCATTAAAAAAAAAAGTAATGAAAGTAAAATTGAATAAGTGAAATGCACTTAAAGGGTATTTTTTCATATGTTTAGTTAATATGCTCTGTACTATATCTTGTAATATCCACACATTTTAATATCTGAGCTTACCGTTTGTTGTTAATATCAATTGTATTATTTATTTTCCATTTTCACAGTATGCCTTTGAATGTGATAAAGTGGCATCTTTGCCATATGTTGGTTTTATCCTTGGTGGAAAGGCATTTTTCTTATCTGGAGAAGACTATGTTCTTAAGGTTAGTATAGTAGTTAAATTTTTCCCCCGGGGGGCTAGGCTTCCCCGACAAGGGGCGTGGACCCCTCAACCTATCAATATGTGAAACAATTAATAAAATAACCCACCTTCTAACAATCAATCCAACAATCTAACAAAATGTCGATCACTTATTCTATGAGCCTACACTAATAATATAATAGCGCCCTCTCTAGTCTAAAGAAGTATTTTTATGTGCGATGCAAGCAGGAAATAAATTTAATAATCAATCTGGTACAATGTAAGCAGAAGGAAATGCCTGTATGGTCTGGTGCTGCGTCTACTTTTCCTCTGGTCTGCTGCATTGATAGGACTTTTTTGCTCGATACATACAAGAAATTTTATAAATATACTGAAGATAATTTAGTCAATCAATTTACTGGAATCACTTGTTTGACAGTGTTGGCACATTCATGAACTCAGAATAACAAAAAGAAAATAAAACATCTGAAATACATGAAACTACAAGTATAAAATTAAACATAAGAGTGTACAACAAAGTGTATTTTGTTCATGTGGGTGCATCAATTTTCGGTACACCCAAAAGAAATATAAAACTAAATAACAAAATAAATCTCACTGGTTTAACAAATTTTTAAAAAGTTAAACCAGTATATTCGCCCTTCGGTGTACACAGTTTTGTCTACTGTTTGACAGTCAGTGAAGCTGTTCACATTAAAAGGGCAAGCAGTGAAGCACACTGGTTGTACAAAAGCAATACCACTTAAAACTAATGTGTAAACAAAGATGCAAAGTACAGTATGTATGTTTCAGCATATTTTATTCAAATTTCATATGCAGGGAAAATCTCCACAATATTCTTTACAATGTTTATATTTTAATTGTAGGTTTCACAGGGGAGTGAGACCATCTGTCTGAGTGGGTTTCAAGCTCTTGATATACCTCCACCCGCTGGCCCTCTTTGGATTCTTGGTGATGTGTTCCTCGGGAAATTTTACACTGAGTTTGACAAGGGTGCTGATCGTGTCGGCTTTGCTGAGGTTGTGTAAAGCTTTGTCAACACTATCAAATTTTTTTTGACAAAAAAAAGTTTTATGCCCATATATAGTCATGATGTGATGTCATCATGACCATATTTAGGCATGTCATGTTTTTGTCAAATAAAATTTGATAATTTTGATGGGGCTTAACAGTTTTACTCAATAAGTTGAAAGTAACAAGAAGTATAATATTCATTTGTTATTAACTTGCAAGTGTTGCAAATTCAAAATGTTTTAGTTCATAAGCCCTCTTTAGTGTTTGCAATAGCTTTAAAATAAATAAGTCAGTACTGCAAGGTGTGTTGATTTTTTCATGAAACAGGTACAGATTTGGATTAATAGAAAATAGCAGTCAATTTACTTAATTGTTTCTTTTGAATTTATTCATTTAGCATTTTATATGATAAAAAGCTCTATATTTTATATAATTTTATACCTTTCCAGAAATGGTTTCTGCTTTCCAGGCAAATCTTAATTTGAAATGAGAGCATTTATGTTAAGTATTAGACCTATACATATAGAATACAATAGATGTACAGGTGAATGCAAAATTATATGATATGTTTATGTTATTTTTATTAACTCAGTTATACAATGTTTATACATTTTTTTTGTTAAATGGAATGCAGAAAACATGTAAAATAGCAAATAAGGAAAGCTAGACAATAAACAACTCAGTTACTTTGGCAGTATTATAGGCATTAACATATAAAATGTGACAGTGGAAGTGTCATTTTGCATTTTTGATGGTCAATAAAAGTAAAAAATAAAATATATCTGAATTGTTATCATTTAATTGTGTGGGCTGAATCGCGGATATTTCTTGTCCCTGGTTCAATTGTCTGCTCTCATTGTGTCTCATCTTCCGGATGAGTGTGCAATATGGCTCATGTGCATATTAAAGAACGCGTACTGTACACTCTTTGGAAAAGAGTAGGGGATTATCTCCCCAATCACCACCAGAATGACCCCACTGAAAACATTTCTTTTGTGGATTATCCTCGGTGAATCAGCTAGTAATCAGCTCACTGGTATCCAATCCTACCGGTACCTGCTTGTACAGTACTTCTACGTGGAGACATGCATATTAAAGAACACAAACACAGGAGACCCAAGTTGAAGTAGGAATGACATCAGTCGGGAAACACAATTTAACATAGTAGAATCTAAAAATAATCGATTTTACAAAAGATTCTGAACCCCCTAGACCACTTCTGAAAGATAGTGGGTGACGCCCGACCACGCCCACTTTGCTCTCGTCGGGAAACCCACTCTGTTGAAGTACTGGCTCCACCCCTGAATTAAACCTCTTTGGTGCAGAAAAAAAATAGGTTAATTCAGTTGCCCAAGGGTACCAAAAAAAAAGAAAAAGAAAAAAGCCCCAAAATAACGACCAGCTGGGCGCTTGAATCTGTATTTTGGATTAGAAGAATCAATAGCATGTGATGTTAATTGTTATGTCGATGATTTCATTTTGTAGAGGTCAGTAACAATGCATTGAAATAAAATGGTGTAGATTGAAGATGGAAGTTTCTATTTTGAAATTTTAAAGTTGGTCTTGATATAATATTAAGAACTATTGTTAACTAATACAACTGAAAGACACACAAATTTGGAACTTTTTCCAGAGTTTTCCGTAGAATAATCAGTTGTACAACATATCAAAAAAATCTTTTCCTCCAAAGCCTGGCCTTAATCAAGTGTATGTGTGATAATTCTTTTCGATTATTTATTTTCATAGAAGTTAATAATAGTGTACTGAAAAAAGTAGTAAATAGATTGAGGATAGACGTTAATTTATATTTTGAATATTAGATATATTTTTGAGTTAAAAAATTTGGTCTTCGCGATAAATAATTATTTTTTAAGGCCAACTCTTGAAAATGTGTGCAGTTTGTGCAGTCTTCGTTTTAATTCGGTTCTTTGTATTATATTAATTTAATTCAATTTCTATCATAAATTCTCCCAATAATGTCATCTCATCTGGTTCTTTCCATATCATTGGCATGTACTTTCTGCAAACTAAGCTGGAATGGCCCAGAAATCATGAATGGACGCTGATATTTTCAAAGAGTCTAATCGTTGAAAAGAAGAATTTTAAATAACACACATTTAGAATCTTAATTATGCTCACTTCGTATATTTTATGTTTGCTGCCATCATCTGGTTTGTGCGCTCATGTCTTGAAACGTTATGAAATCTAGACCATGACTAATAAAGTTACTCTCATATCATAGTTGCAATCTACAAATTACTCATTGTAATGTTTGTATAGCTAATTTAATACAAACAATAACATGAACTAATGAAACTCTTTTGTTTGAAAAAGTATGTACCATCTAATTTAGTTTCATATTTTTGCACGTTTATCTAAAAATCGACCTTCAGGCCCGTATTCGTGTTCAGGCCTCTTTTCTGGCAAAACCCCCTCTTTAAATTTCCTAAATAAGTCCTCCAACCCAACTAATGCACTACAGACCCACCCAGACACAGATATTTTCAAACATATATGCTTTTATAGCATTATTTAGACCTGTAAAGCACAAAAATCCTCTTACTTATGGGGTTTCGCCGACCCCACCGGGGCACTGTGGACCTCACGCCCAGAAAACCTCCCCCCCCCCCCGGAAGAACCTGGCTACGGACCTGACCTTATTTGGCGTTTTTCCCAAACATGTTAAATGTAATGATAATATCAAGCAAATATTCAACTTTAACTCTTTGTTATACAAAATGTACCGAGATAGTTGACTGTATTAATATTCTGTATTCGAAGGCTGTCCCGGATGCTTCTCGGATTTAAGAAAAAATTGCACACTATGATTAAAGTAAAGGAAATCAAAAGGGTTTTGTGTTTTAAATCACAAGGTTAGAGGGTTTTTTACAAAACTAAATAGTGTCTATATTAAATAGACACTGCTGTCTATATAATGTCTACATTCTTGACATTTTTCACCATTGAAATTAATATACCGTACTGCATCTATTCGAATAAACCTAAATGCCTATTAGCCTACTATTCCTATATCGTCGTTCTTTTTCCGGATTAACATCAGTACACTACACAAATGTATACGTGCGCTGTTTCATGAATGTTTGTTCTGTTGACAATCTTGTAGACATCGACAACCAATATTGAGAACTCAAATAATGCATTCTTTTGCTGTCATTCATAATATTATTACCATGTAATTATGTCTAGTTACTCTTTATCTTAAAATGTACAAACGAAGGCCTATTTTAAAACCGAAAGGTCCACTGATTAGAAAGTATAATACATACTCCAAGTATTGAAATACAAGGCTTATTTTAATGCTGTATTTGAATATGTACACCTAGTCCACAACTCTGTAAGCATTATCGACAATATTTACTTACAATATATTACAATTACACTACTGTATGTATATACCAAGATTTGCAATTTATAGTATAAAAAAGTATCAAAATAAAAGTTACTTTTGGATTGGATAGGATTTCTCCGGTGTAATTATTATTATTATACACCAAGGAAACTCTAGGCAGAGAGAAAACTTTGTTTAGTTAGTTGCCCAATGGTAAAAACAACCAGCTTGGCGCTTGAAAGCCTATCTTTTGATGGGAAGCCCCAATCATTTACTGCTGCACTACCACTTTCACGAATCAGCAGTGTGTGATAAATATGTTCGATGATTTAATTTTATAATAGATTGAGTATAGAAGTTGATGTCTATTTGGAATATTAAATATATTTTTGAGTTTTTAATTTGGTCTTTGGGACAAAATAATTTTTTTAAGGCCAACGTCTGATAATTTGTGCAGTTTGGATAGTCTCTTCGTTTTCATGGTTCTGCGTATAATATTTATTAAATTTAATTTCTGTAATTAAAAATCCTCAAAAAAATGGCTACCTCCAAATTGTCATATCAATCCGGTTCTTTCACTATCAATATCATGTAGTGCAACTTTCTGCAAACTAGGGTCGCTAAGAAATCACAGATGGACGCTGGAATTTTCAGAGTGTATCCTTTTGTTTAATTTTGCAGTCCACTCTCATTAAAGAGATATTATGAATCTTAATTCTGCTCGCTTGTAGTTGTATGTTTGCTGTCACCATCGCGCATGTGCGCTCATTTTGATTGGCGTTTCTTTCTCAAACATGTAATGGTAATGCAAATATTATTATTATTATTATTATTATTATTATTATTGTGGGCATTTCCAATTAAAAAAAACATGTCTATATTGTATTCAGAGTGCTTGACATTAAAATTAATAAACATTTTATTAGTAGCATTATCATTAAACTGAATAGTCGTTATCAATTTAATTCTGTTGTAATAATAGTAGTCTGATCAAGTAATACCTTATGTTTGTACAAAAAGTATGTCGATTGCTAAGTATATTAATAATCTGGTTATTCATGCTAAATTAACTTATAATACGACGTTGCTCTTTCTCCTGATTAACATTAATTCACTAAAGATGCATACGTGTATTGTTGAATGTTTGTTCTGTCGGATGTAATGACAGTTTTGCAGACATCGGCAAGCAATATTGAGAACTCAAATAACACTTTATTCTTTTGCGGCCATTCTCTTTGCTAGTATTATAATATTACTGATGAATTTATGTCTAGTTAATCTTTATTTTTAAATGAAAGCGAAGGAAGTATAGAAATAAAAAAAAACTACTTTAATGCTGCATTTGAATATATACCTAGTCCACAATATTTTAGAAACTATTTACTTTAAATATTTTAGATATAATTACTCTATATTTTACTACAGGTTTGTTGGGTAAAAATTACAACTAATTGATACAGAGAATATTAAAGAGGAAGTATGGAATATATAGACAGAAAAAAGTTACTAGATTTATAGTAGAAAAATTATGTACATAATAATATCAAAATTATGTACTTTAGGATTGGAATGGAGTTTTCGGTGTGAAATACACCAACGATGACCCACGCAAGTCCAGACTTATTTCCAGTGGGGTCCTTTTTTTTCCTTTTGGTAAAAAATTGAACAATCCTTAGAGTTTTCTGAAGATCGTTCTTTCAAGGGTATTTACATTACTGGTTCTGGGATATGATTGATTGATTGATTGAATTTATTCGTAATCAGAGTCATAAAATACATACATAAAAACAATTTACAAAATACCGAAAAGATGAAAATTGCACAAAACATGACCCTAATTAACAGCCCAAAAAATGTAAAACTTATTTCTACTGGAGTGAAGCGTCAACAGAGGGGCGAGGCCTGAGTTATTGCTAGTGGGTGAGTGGGGTGGTGCTAGGAGCCGTCTATTTTATTGGCAGATCCAAGAATTTAAAACAGAATGCATCTAAATACAAATATAAAACCAAATAACAAAATAAATTTTATTGGTTAAACAAATTTTTTTTAGGTAAAACCAGTATGCTTACTCTTAGGTGTACACAGCTTCACTAATTGGTAGAGAGTCAGCGAAGTTGTTCACACCAAAAGAGCAAGCACCCTGGCTCTACCAAAGCAATACCACTTAAAAACCAATGTGTAAACAAAGATGCAGGTAAAGTATGTATCTTACTCAGCATATTTTATTGAATTTTCATATGCAGGGGGAAATATCTCCACAATATTTTTTACAATGTTTATATTTTTATTGTAGGTTTCACAAGGGAGTGAGACCATCTGTCTGAGTGGGTTTCAAGCTCTTGATATACCTCCGCCTGCTGGCCCTCTTTGGATTCTTAGTGATGTGTTCATCAGGAAATTTTACACCGAGTTTGACAAGGGTTCTGATCGTG